CGTAGTTGGGTGGAGGATATAGATGTAGAAGGATATCAAAATTTGAACCAACTGTTAATGTTGAAGGAGCAATTGGAAGGAACCAGAAATAAGATTGTTTCCAAAGATTCTGAATCATTTCAAGCTTGGTTTATGTAGCATGTCTCAATAGAATAGGTGATTTAAAAATAGAGCATGAGCATATATTTTTTAAAAAGTCGATTGTACTTTTGTTAAAATGTTGAATCAGAAGCAGACTATTATAAGTTTTTTTCACTGTATGTTTTAATTATTTAGATTTATCATATGAATGAGCATTAAGTGAATTTTATAAATCAACTATTTCGTTATTATATTTTCAAAATTGATTTTTCGTTTGTGAATATCATTTGTTTTCATTAACCAAATTCACTTTTAAGTAGTTTACTTTTCAAGAAATGTGTTATATGTCTGACGTATATTCTAAAAAATTAATCCATGTGTGTTGACAAGACCGTCTTAACCTTAGGTCATAAAGCCATTGCTAGGGGCTAAAATGCTTATACATATTTTTTAAAAATAAATTAAATACTTCTTAATTTTTTTAAAAAGATGGGTAAGAATAAAAAAAAATAAGGGCAATTACAGAAATCACATACTTTTAAGACAAAATTACAATCTATCCCTTAAAAGTTTATAATTACAGAAATCTCTCAAACATATACAATAATATAAGTGCTGATACATTAATCTGATGCGCGAGATACATTAATCGTTAAGTAAGATACATTGCATTTTATACATGATACACTAATCTGATGTACATTTTATACATGATACACTAATCTGATGCGCGAGATACAATAATATAACCGCTGATACATTAATCTGATGTGCGAAAATGAGAAATTTTGGAGATTTGTAAAACTTATAGAGGATAATGATAATAAGTAAAGTAAAAGTGAAATTTCTGTAATTTTTTCAAAAAATAATCAAAGTGTCGTTAGTTTCCACTTTTCTAGAGGAAAGGAAATTTTTTGGGAATAGTTTTCTTATGTGGAAAATTGTACTTCTTTATTTGTCTCCCAATAATTTTGAGCATTGAACTCACTCCTTTAAGACTTATTGAGTTTTTTTTACTTACAAGTTACTCCCTCCGTCCCTATTTACTTGTCCATATTTCCTTTTTTAGTTGTCCCTATTTAGTTGTTCATTTTGACAAATCAAGAAAGAACAACAAATTTTTTCCTATTATACCCTTATTTACACTTCTTGAAAATTGTAAAAGTGTATGTTGTTTCCCTCCAATTTATTTCACTTGAATTCAAATAAGTGGTTGTAATTTTGAAGTGAAAAGTTGTCATAAGGGTAAAATTGTAACTTCACTGTGCTAATCATTGTTGCCTTAATCTGTGTGCCATTTCTAAAGTGGACAACTAAAAAGGGACGGAGGGAGTACAAAAGAACAAAATCTGCTTTGTGGTGTCTTCTTCAAAATTTTAAGAAGTGTAATAATTAAACAAAAAATCATTATATTAAAAGAACACAATTTTATTTTGATATCATTATGTCAATTTATCAAATTCTAGAGCCATGTTTTATTATTTTAATTTTATTTTTTAGTTTTTTTCTTGAAATTTTTTATTGTTGATATATATATATATATATATATTCTTGTTTTAGTTATTATTAAAATTTATTCAATTAATATGTTAACTAAAAAAGTGATTCCGATTTTATAAAAAGAGAGAAAAAAAAGAAAAAACTTGAAGATTTAAATAAATTCCAAAAAAGGATTCCTTGATAGATTTTTAACAAATAATAAAAATCTTAAATCGAAAAATATGGGAGGATATTCTTCAAATAAACAAGTCACAAATAGAGTTGAGTTAGATGAGAATGACATCAAAGAAGAAATCTAAAAGAAGTTGGTGAAAATGTGACATAGTTTCCAATAATCAAGAACTCCTAAATAATTTAAATAGTTGCATCCCTAAAAATAAATGTGATAACTTTCTTAACTAAATAAATAAATATAGGACCTCTCTCTAAAGTTTAATTTCAGGCCTCCAATTTTGTTGAATCGATCATCTGTATTGATATGAATATTAGGATTATCGAGAAAAGGCCATATACCAGTTACATGTGTAAACATGCACATATTTCAATTTGATTACCTTAAACCTAAACTTAACTCTCACAAACGAAAAGTCAATTTAATTATTCTAACTCTAAACTTCACAAAAAAACTAATTAAGACTTTTAATTAAGTGTACCGTATATGCAGATTATGTAAATTAAAAATGTCTTTTTTTCTATTTTAATGAGATTTTTTAATAAATAAGCGAAAAACAAATAAGTTCGTAAAACTTGTTTAAAAAAATTCTACATTGCTATCAACATTAAAATAACGTACGTTAGGACCTCTCAATTGAGTGCTAATATTAATACCATAAATAATTAAGCCAGTTTAATTTGTGAAAAATCTATAACAATTCAATTTGAATTAAATGAGATATTTTATTTTTTCTTAATTTAACTTAATACTTTTTCCAAAAGAAAGTTAATTAAATTAATAGTAAACAAATAGAAATGAAACGACACGTCTCCTCATTTAAGGCGGCAAGAAGTTATGTGATTTGAATCAATAGAAAATAGACAAATGAAAAAAAAAAGTGTTTTTTCGTTTAAAATAGTGATAGAATTATACATAAATAAATTTAAAAAATTACTACAAAAGAAGACAAATGAAAAGATATGAACACTTATATTACTAGATTTGTCAAGGGACCTTGTGTCTTGACCCGTTGTAAACTCATACACGTCAACATGTTAATTTAGTTCTAGTATAATTTTTACCATAAATAAACTTGTTTGACTAGTGAAAAATATATAACAATCCAATTTGAATTAAACAACATATTTACTGTTTTTCTTAATTTAACCAAATACTTTCTAGAAACCAAATTATTTTAGGATATTACTTGTAATTGAAAAAAAAAGTAATACTCAACTTTTACTTTCCTTGTACAATCCTTAAAAAGAAAGTTAATTAAACCAATAGTAAAAAATGATAAATGAAAAGATGCGTCTCATTATTTAACACAACAAGAAGTTATATGATTTAAATTAATAGAAAATAGATAAATAAAAAGACGTGTTGTCTCGTTTAAACTAATGAATTGGTAATAAATTAAATAAAAAGACGCGTCTCATTATTTAACACAACAAGAAGTTATACGATTTAAATTAATAGAAAATAGATAAATAAAAAGACGTGTTCTCTCGTTTAAATTAATGAATTGGTAATAAATTATATGCAGAAAAGTTTGAAAAATTACAATGGAAAAATGGTAAATAAAAAAATGTGTATTTTCATTAAAGACAAATCTTTTTATTTAAGACGGTGATAAATTATACACAAATAAATTAAAAAAATTACCCCTAATACCAAAAATGATAATGAAAAGACACGATTTTTCGTTTGCCTATACATAAGTAAATTAGAGAATAATCACAAAAAAAGTAGTTATTCCCAGTAGGTGACATGAACTGTTATGGAAAAATATAATATGATAAAAATAAAATAAGACATGAAAACTAATTAATTTTTTTAACTAAATTAAATATGGAAAAGGGTCAAAATTATCCGAAATAACTTAAATATACCCTTAAATTATATTTCAGCTCAAAAATATCCTTTCCGTCAAACTATTGAACCACACTTATCCTTCCTGTTAACGAAAGTATCCATGTGTGTTAAATGTCACATGCACGCCAAACACACCCCAACGACACATAGACGAATTAAATCTTAATTTCACTCATTCCCCCTTATACTCTAAAAAGGTGTCTCCGGCAGATTTGGAGAATTGAACAATCGCCACTTCTGGTGCAACTTCGATAGCTTCAGCCATTACTGAGAATTTCCCTTTTCGCCCATTTGATGTTCCTTGCATCTTCACCTTGAATTCCTAAGCAAATACAATATGAAAATTCACCTTCTTGGCTAAAGATTCCAGTTTTGACATGATGTGAATAGAGAACCGGACTTCCTCTTACCTTCAAAAAGGCTTGATAAATCGAACCCTGAAGACATTGCTGATACGAATTCAAATGCATTGTAAAAAGGTGGAGCTGATTTTGATCTATTTCCCAAACTTGGTTCTTTGCTTTCCTGTTTTTGATCAGTGTTGTTTTCTTCGATTGAAGAAAAAGAAGACGATCGACTAAATTCTTTGATAAACCAAGGGATCTTTGTTACAGCAGAAATTGTAATTCTTTTTTTCTGGATCAGCTACAAGAAGCTTTGAAATCAGTTTCTTGGCTTCAGGGGAAAACCAGGGAGGAAATTCATATTCACCTTTGAAGACTTTTCGAATTCGATACATCTTCATCAAATTCTCGTGTTTAAATGGTAGTGGGGTGTGTTTGGCGTGCACATGTGACGTTTATGTGGCATTTAACACACATGGATACTTCCAGCTTAAACTGAAAGGGTAGGTGTCGGCCGTTTGACAAAAAAAGTATTTTTAAGCCGAAATATAATTTAAGGATAGTTTTGACCATTTTTCGAATTAAATATTATAGTAAAATGTTAATGAATATTTAAAAATTCAAATATACTAAAATTAAGTTACCGACTAACTTTTTTTAACATAAATCAAATTTTACTGAAAATCCTTTTTGTATAAACATAAAAATAAAAAATAAAAAATAAAAACATTAAAAGAAATCAGTCAATGTTTAAAGAAAGATAATAACAAATTCGGAAAAAAAATTATAAGAAATTTCTTATTGTTTAAGTCGGTGGAGTATATATAGAGACAGAAAAATTAGGAATCAATTATGGAAAAGAGAAATAATTTCAATAGGAAACTACCAATTTTCATAGCTTTAGAAATCCTTTCCTAAAAGGTATCTGCTTTTTAAAGCTTATAAATATAAAATATATTTACCCCAAAATCTAAATCTCAAAGCAAAATATACTTCTTGAAGAAGAACAGGAGAGAAAAAAAAAAAACAAGAGTAAATTTAGTATAATGGGTACAGGGAAGAAAAAAATAGAGATCGAGAAAATCATGAAGGAAACTTCTAGAATGGTCACATTCTCAAAAAGACGTAAAGGGCTTTTTAAAAAAGCTAAAGAACTTGAATCTATGACGGGTTCTCGTGTTGCTTCGGTTGTTTTTTCACCAACCGGAAGGCCTTATACTTGTGGAGACGTTAATTCCGCTATAAAACAACATTTTTCTACTACTAGATGTAGGGAATTATTAACTTCAGATTGTGGAGACATTAATTTCGCTATAAAACCGCATTTTGCCAGTACTAGATGTATGGAATTATTAACTTCAGGACTGAATTCTCATGATTCCGATTCTGATTCCGATGATGTTGTTTTTGATGTATCTTTGGGATCAAAATCATCATCAACCCCGAAGAGGAATGGTCTCCGCTGTTGGGTGGAGGGTATAGATGTTGAACAATATCAAAATTTGAATCAACTCTTAATGTTGAAGCAACAGTTGGAAGGAACGAGAGAAAAGATCGCTTCCATTGAAGAGCTTGAATCGTTTGAAGCTTTGTTTGTTTAAACCTTTTTAACTTATTTTATTTATATACTTATACTGAATTTATTATCTTTTGGTGATATATATTAATTATATATATTTTTTTAGTATAATCAATTTATTTTTGTTTCTTTTTAAAGTTTTAATGATTCCTAGAGTTGATTGAGTTTAATGGAAAATTTGGAAACGTAAGCTTCACACACAGGCAATGAACACACTTTAGTACCAATTATATAATAAACTCGTTATGATAATGATACTGAGATGTTACGATAACAATTAAACTTCAAATATTTAGTCTTTTTCTAGAGAAAAAATGGATTTAACAATTAAACTTAAAAGAGAAAAAATGGATTTCGATCATCTGGTTTTTTTTGTTAAACTCAAAGATTTGGCCTTTTTCTTTGAGAAAGATTGGATTTTGATCATCGGGTTCTATTGAATTTTAAAAATTGGATTTTGATCATCGGGTTCTATTGGATTTTAAAAATTGGATTTTGATCATCTAGGTTCTTTTAAACTCAAAGATTTGATGCCTTTTTCTTGATTTGACACCTATTTCTTGAGAAAGATTGGATTTTGATCATTTGGGGATTTGGCCTGGGGTTCTATTAAACGCAAAGATTTGGCCTAGAGAAAGATTGGATTTTGATTATTTTGAGTTCTTTTAAACTAAAAAATTGGTCTTTTCTTGAGAAAGATTGAATTTTGATTATCTGGGACTCTTTTATTTTTTATCACAAGTTTGTAAAATTTTTGAGGAAAAAGGCCATTGTTTTATGTCTTCTTTTCTGGCTTGAGCAATGTTTATTTCTACTGAAGATGAAAATGAATAGCAGAAGAAAAATATAATCGGAGAATCTTCTGTTAGCCCAAAATCGTTAACTAAGATCGGAAGACTCAACTAAAAAAGAGGAATCTAGAAGGGAGAAAGAGTATTTTGGATAAAAGAACTTTGTTAGAGAAGAAGACTATTTGATTTGGTTGTTCTTGGTTAGTTGCAAATGCCTAATGCCACCTCTATTTATATTTGTATAGGATTGCTTTTAGAAATTATTCTAGATACTTCTACAGGAAAAATCGAGATAGCTTTATCTTCTAACTATCTAACAAGAATCTAGATATTTCTATAATTCACTATAAATATCTACTTCTCTAGAACATCTGCACAATTCCTAGATACATCAAGTACTTAAGGTATTATTCTACGTAACTCTAGAAAGTTCTACTAATTATTTAGGATTATTTGTACCTCCAAAAAATCATCTTTATTTTTCACACTCATTGCCTTTGGAAAATGGGAAAGCTTTGGAGAATTCTTCTCCAATAGGATCAAATCCAGATTCCAATGATGATGAATCTTCCCAACAGATTCCTTCAGCTTTCACAGATGTCAATTTGATTCAAGAAGATGAAAAGTTTCAACTTGAGCTGAGGATTTTGAATTTAGAAGGTGTTTTTTCTTGGGATTTGTTTGTCATTTGACTGAGATTTAAAATTTTCATGATTTGAACTTTCTTTTGTTTTTCTGTTATGGTTTTGCAGGTGAAATAGCTAGTGTGAGGCATAAAGAGAGATCTTTGGATGATAAAAGAAGAGAAGCATTGAATAAGATACTAGATATTAAAGGTGATTTCTTGTTTGGATATTTACTTTATTCTAAATTGAATACATTTTTTTTTCTTTCCTTCATTTATGTGTTCTGAATGAGAGACATTAATATTTCCAAATGTAGGTTGCATTCGGGTGTTTTCCCGAGTTAGACCATTTTTACCAACAGGTAAACAGAGAACTCATCAGCCGATTTCTGTTGAATCAGGAGAAGATTGTAGTAAGATCTGGTGGAAGCAGGAAATAATTTGAATTTAACAAGGTTTTCCCTCAGGAATCACTCCAAGGTTGGTAAAATATTTATGTGCTAAAAGTTGATTAGTCTTATTTCCAAAGAAATTTAGTCAATGCATTTGTTATGCTTGAATATTCTGCAGAAGATGTTATGTTTTTGCTGAGGTTGAGCCAATTATCAGATCTGCATTTGATGGGCACAATGTATGTATATTAGCTTATGGACAAACTGGAACTGGCAAGACATATACTATGTTAGTTATCTTAACTTATTTTGTATTTGTTACATTGTCATGAAGAATGCTTGTGGAAATGAACTAGGTGTTTTTGCTTATAGAAATGAACTAAGTGTTTTTCCTGTGTTCTTTAGGAGGGAATCACAGAGTCTCCAGGGATCATTCCTCGTGTTCTTCAGGAGCTTTTTAACCTTTCCTCTTTAGATGGCTCGAGTTCATTTACATTTTCGATTAGCATGCTCGAAGTCTATTTGGGCAGTATAAGGGATTTGCTTGCTCCAAGACCTTCCAGTCAGAAATATACTGCATCGAGATGGTCATTACCATATCTTGTCCTTCCTTATAAAGGAGGATGTAATTTGATGATGATCCACAATGAATTTCATGGTATAATTTGGCTAACACTATTACAGCAATCTAAATATTCAAACATATTCAACATGATTAGTTGAAATCGATGGTTTAACTGAGGTAGAAATCTCTAATTTTACGAAGGCAAAATGGTGGTATCATAAGGGGAGGCGAGTTAGATCCACATCTTGGACAAATGTAAATGAAACATCCAGCGGATCGCATTGGTGGGTGTCCAGTTTGTGTAAAAGTATTTGCCATCTTTAATTGGATTACTTTAGTTCAACAACTACTTTATCTGTTTAGTTCTTTGTATTTAGCTTGACGAGGATCAGTATATATCGCTATGGGGATACTTTGGGAGGTAAACCAGAAGCAACCAAACTGTGGATGATTGACCTTGGAGGGAGTGAGCGTCTACTTAAAACGGGAGCTACTGGACAAACCCTTGACGTGGGAAGGGCGATAAATCTCTCTCTTTCTGCACTAGGTGATGTTATTGCTGCTTTTAGAAGAAAGAAAGGTGGCGTTCCTTATAGGTAGGTGAATATGTACGAGTTTCTCAGTTCATAAAAGGAATCTGGTTTTCTTGTCTGCATTTAGATAGCACTTTCTTAGTGTTCTTCTTGCTCGAGGTTTATTCTGTTTCACTGTTACACTGCTCAATAGAAAAAGCTTGAGGAGCTATGAGTCTAAATATTTGGAAGTGGTGCCTTCCATTAAATAATGAAGTTGCAACTTTTGATAGCAGAAATAGTAAATTGGCACAAGTTCTCAAGGATGCTTTAGGTAAATTCTCTCATTCTTGAAAAGCCATTTCCTTGTATGCTTGTCAGAACTATTATAATTTTCACATTTTGGACAATGATAATTTTATGGAAGCAGTAGCGCAATATTTCGTTGCATCCACTCAGTTGTTAGGAGTTATAAGGAATCTTAGAATTTCGACTTGTTGGCAGTTGATGTAAAAAACTCTCTTGTTCGGCTTGGTACTTAAGACATCTAAACATGTTAAGTTGTTCATAACTTATTTCTTTGAACTTACTTCTTTAGGTGATAAATCAAAAGTTTTGATGGTAGTCCATGTTAGCCCATACGAAGAGGATGTTGGAGAGACAACATGCTCCTGTACCTTTGCAAAGAGAGCAAGAGCAGCAGAATGCAATAGAGAACTCTCAGAAGCAATCTTCTCTTTTTTGTGTTGTCTCTGACGACCTTGCGGCTTATCCTTATTTATTGTTTTGCATCCCTTTAGTAATCAAAGAAGCAAATAGAAAGGAGGATCGCGGAGCTTGAGGAGCAAATGAAGGAAGCTGAAGAAGGATGTACAGAACTTAGTACTCAAATACAAAAGGCTGATATTTTATTGAGTGAGAACAAAAGGCTTTACATGAAGAAATATCAGCCACTTGAAATCACAGCAACTCCAAGAAACTCTGAGAAGGGACTAAAAACAAATGTCACTAGCTCGGTGCCTCGATTCATGAGTTCCACAGTTGCCAATCGAATAAGGGAGACTGCAGCAGAAAAGGAAATCCATAGCAGACCAAAAAGTGTGAGATCATGGTCTAGGAGCTCTATGCAAATTTCTGATTCACAATCAAACAGCTTTGATCGTCGTTTCAAAGCTCCCCTACGGACTTCAAATAAAAGATCACGTTCATGGCTGGGGATATTAAGTATGGTGATGATTCAGATATTAAGCCATCTGTCTTGCCACAAAGCAAGATTATCGCGCCATCGGATCCAAAGCCTAGAAAACCACTAGCTCACCACAGAAGAAGGATGTCTGATCTGCTCTAACTATTACAAGAGTTGATCAAAGGTGCTTTAGCTTTTTTTCCTTTTTTGTGTGTTCTTTACTAACACATCAATGGAAGGTTTAAGCTTTTTCAACTTCAGTTAAATAGTTTCCTTATTTTTTACTCTAGATATGCTAGTTTTGTAGGCTTAGTTTAACCTGGATCAAAAGTATTCATTTTCACAAACATGAACATGTTTTGTGTTTAGTAGTATACTATTCTCTGGGAATCCCCTTCCACTTTATAAATTTGTACATTATTGACTTTATGTTGATAGCTATTTATCGCATATTATTTTTATAAATACGATAGATCTTATATATTGACTAATGTTTTTATATATAGAGCTTATATTTGCATTAAAAAAACTAATAATGAATAAAATAATTTCAAATATAATCTTTTTGTCTAAAATATAGTATACTAAATATATGTTTATCTATATATACAAAACAGTATGTCAATAATGTGTAACATAATTTTTTTTTTTTAAATTACAAACTCAAACTAATCATACAAAGAATAAAAACGGTATGACATGCATGCCAAGTTAAGGCTAATATATAGAAATGCAAACAAAAAAGAACTATGCATAGGATAACTATTGGGCGATGCAAGTGTGGATTTAAGCTAATGCGGGGTGGAGTGAAACGAGTGGAAATCTTTGTGGATTTGCCCTGCAACTATACTTCCCACACTGCTTTTCATTCCTACATATTCCATTAAAATCATTACCTTTAAAAACATGTTAAAGACAAATAATAAAGATTCACACAGAATTAAAGAACAA